AACGCAAGTAGTAGAGATTCTATTTAGTTGCGATTATAACGTAAACTTTTAGACTTTTTGGTATGTTATCGGCAATACCAACTGCCGATCTGTGTCGGCAGTATCAACTGTCGATCTGTGTCGGAAGTACCAACTGTCGATCTGTGTAGGAAGTACAATCTGTTGATTTGTTTGTCGCCCTGAGCGCTATGAACGTTAAAGAGGTCGCATTGCATACAGAATCTTACTCGTTGAAGTTCCGACGACGGCAATCAGAAAAATTTAATAATTTCCACTTTTACTTATTTTTTTTTATGATTTCGATGTTTACTTTTTATTTTTTAACAATTATTCTGCTATTTGCCTAACTTTCATCATTATATACACGTATATTTGATTTCTAATATTTTCACACGCACTATCCATAAATAAAACAACTTTGAAACGGTTTTGACGGATGAAACTGTTTAAAAGTTGTTTCATTTACGAATATTTGTCAATAAGACCTGTAGAAGGTTAACCAAGTTGCGAATGTGTCAGGTATCAAAGTAGTGACAATTTCATAATAACAAAGTTATGTCGCGTGCACTCTAGGAACAATCAACTTTTATATTTTCTTTTCTTTTCTTACATTTTTATCCATCACATGATTACCCCTTACCGTGAGGTAGATTATTTATACGCTACGATCTTCGGTAAGGGATGCTCGATGGCGCAGTTATTAGGGTATTCGATCTGTCATGCGAAAGTAAAATTTCGCAAGAGTCTGTCATAAGATGGGTGACAAAGTTATTATCTAGAGCTCCTCCGTGGTTCCGACGGCACATTAAGGCTCTCTTTTACCTCCGCTTATGTTTCCTTACCGCTTGATTTCAATAAATACAGTTACAAAAAAAGAATTATCTTGCTCGTTTTAGATTAAAACCTATTTTAGATATAAAAACCTATTTTTATTTATTAAAGATAAAATATATAGGTATAAGAAGACTCAGTGTATAATAATTGGCGGCCCTCACTTTGTGTCTAGGATTTATTTCGGGCAGTTGTCGAAAATTACTTTGGCCGGGACTGTGATTCCATTTACAGATACGGTGAAAAACCTAGGACTATTATTTGACAAATCTTTATCCTGGAGACCACAAGTTGCAGAAATTAGTAGACGAATGTTTGCTTCAGCTGGGGCGCTGCGGCGCTTACGTCACTTCTTACCAACTGCCACCAAAATTACTCTTGCACAATCCCTACTTTTACCTATACTTGATTATGCTGATGTTTGCTATACTGACCTTACAGTTGAGCTTCTTAATAAGCTAGAACGTCTTCAAAATTTCGCCATAAGGTTCATATTCGGACAGCGTAAATATGACCATGTCTCTCACTACCTGTATAGAGTCAAAGATTGAATTAGTTTACCATTCGCAGACGCAGTGACCTACACATATTATCCCTTCTTTTTTCTGTGCTGTTCAATCCATTGACACCCAGATATCTCAAGGAGCATTTTAAGTTTCTTTCCTCTAGTCACAATCTTCCCCTTCGTTCATCTGACAATGTCCGCCTTTACATACTGCCTAACTTTTCTCAATTTTACAGCCAATCTTTTATCTTGCGAGCGATCCATTTATGGAATTCCTTACCTAAGAATGTTAGACGCGCTCAAACGCTGGAATCTTTCAAATCTCTAGTTGCGAAGTTCTTTTTGTCAGATGAACAGAAATCTATTTGAAATGTTGCCTTCTTATTATCTTAAGCATCGTATATTTATTTATTTATATACCTTTATTATCATATTTATATTTCTATTGATATTATTAAATTTATTTGTAACGTACACAGCCTACCTACATTATTGATACCATTACTTCTTCCAGTATATGTTGCCTGGAAGAAATGGTTGTTAAGCGATAAGGCCGCTTGTTGTGCAAATGTTTTTATGTTTGTAGAAACTATTTATTTATCTCAGATGTGTTTTGTACAATAAAGTGTTTTTATCTTTATCTTATATTAGTCGTAAAATAGATCCAAAAACCTGTATAGAGACATTTTGCGATTTTTTTCTATTTTATATTTCTGTTTTGCAAGCAATCTATCATATGTTTAATTTTAATAAAATGATTTTATTAGGCAAATATTAGCATAGTCTTAGAATACAAATGGTTTAAAAAGTGGTGATTTCCTTGTACATCGTGGTCTGCCGTTGTTGGTCTTAACACCGACTAATAAGCACTGGGACCGAGTGGTTAGCTATTCTCCCGGTTCCATTCGATTCCATCCATAGAGAAGGCCTCGGTAATAGGTTCATTAATAGGTGGTGGCAGTGATGACGATTTATTTAATATAATTTTCTGTTAAAGTCTTAATGATTTTGTATGGGACATGTAGATCAATCCTTTTGAAAGTGTTCGCCCTGGTGCATCATTGCCCATTCTCCCTATTGATTTAATTTTATCCATATTGAAAGTTTGTGCCCTTATAGTGAGGATATTAATTAACTATTTATTGATGATGATGAAATTCGACATACTTTATATGGCTTCTAATTAAACAGACAATTCTCCCACGAATCAATGTCATGCCATAAGGGCTCTAACACCCGGTTTCTGAATAGAGAATAAAGTTAAGCACGTCTCAAACTGTACGTTTAGTCGTCACCTAAAGAGGTTTTATAGAACTAGAACTTTTTGCCGTGTGAGAAGTAAAAACCTTAAGGTATAAGAACGTAAACAACTTAAAGAGAATAAGGATTTCGTACTTTTCACAATTTGGAAGTCAGCCGTAAATCTGCTAATATTAGACTAATTATTGTGACTCTTATAAAAAAAACTCTTCTTTTACAATTTATCTGTCACCATTGATTTATTAAGAAGACATTGTCCTAATAATCATGGGCTTTAGGTTGATATTACAATGGCAAAACGCAATTAACTTTGACACCATTGATACGCGATAATTATTATAATATTAAGAGAATTGAGGCCCCCGGGGCGCGATTGCCAAACTCTTTTCCGATACTTCGTTTCATTGTACACTACGTCGAACCAATGAGGAAGAATTAAAAAAAAAAATAGATCCCGAAATCTAACTAGATATCGTCACGGTAAGTTCTTGATTTCTCCATGACAACGTATCCGGTTTTTATTATGTTTAAAAGTAAATTAGTTTTCAAAACTCAATAACAACTCGTATTCTATTTGTACTTTTTCGAATTTGTATTGATATATAAGTTTAGAACTTTCAAATTTCAGCTTTTTAATATGTTAGTTAATAGGAACGTAAATGACTGTCTTTGGTCATCAATCAACTTTTGCTAGAGTCAGATGGCGACTCTAGCAAAAGTTGAGTGGAGGTGCTTTTTTAGTGCTTTCGTTTTTTTATACTTCCTCATCAAATCAAATCAAATCAAATCAAAATTTATTTATTCAGTTTAGGCTTTTACAGAGCACTTGTGAAAGTCGAAAACTACGCCATCGGTTCGCAAAACTACGGCGGGAGACCTTGTACTGAGAAGAACCGGCAAGAAACTCAGCAAGGGCTGTTTTTTTCTCCCTGTTTTATCATGATTATGGATTTGATAATCGATCGCACCCTTGTTTCGTTCGTTTTAAAAATAAGTGGTACCGACGCTGTGGTAAAAGCTAGACGGATGAGAATTATCATTTATATCTGTTTAGAATAATAAATTCTCTCATTGTTTTCCCGAAGTTTGGTAAGACTGAGTTATGAAGGGGAACGAAACTTTGAGTAATTTATCAAGTTATTTCTGTCTAACTGCCCGTAGTATTGAAACTGCGCATATTAAACAAGAGTAAAGATAATTATTCTTAAAATCCTTTTCGAAATTTATGAATCTTACTAAGTAAGGAACGACTAAAAATATAAGATTATAAAATATATTATGCGCTTAATTCGACCAAAAATTGGATCAGATATATCTTTACCAATATACTTTAATTGTTTTGTTTCTTTTGGATTATCTCGGTCTTTTGTATGAGCGATATTGTCTACGGTCCTTCTTCTTCATAGACTTACAAATAATATCTAAAATAAACAATTCCAGGACACCACCGTCGTACTCGTCACACTGGGCTTTAAGTTTATATTCCGTACGACTCTACTTCATTTCGTCGAGTCTTGAAGATTCAACTCGTGTACGAATAATATATAATTGCATGACTATCAAAATGATGGGTTAATTTGCGTTTGTTCTGAATGTAAAATTAAGAGATCTCGGATTTTCGCCTTCGCAGATCATAATATTCTGGGGTTATTACGATTCTCCTCGCCGTGTGTATTTAACAGACAGCTATTTCGTATATTTTTATGTTTAGAGTACACTGAATACCACCCGCCGCTTTGAAGATTAAATGTGGTGATGAGGCTCAATCATTATTAAATGTTCTACGTTTCACGTTGAATAAAAATTTCTCATAAATATACCTGCGTTTATTCGATTATATTCTAAATAGAAATGTTATTCCAGGTTTTTTTTTTTAATTTTATAAACTCGATATGAGTTTGATTTAATAACTTTTAACGTGATTCTAAAAACATGTTAAGCTGCTTGTCTCAGCTGCATCTGAAGTCATAAACAACCACCAGCCCGCACTGAGCCCAGATGCTGGTTTAAGGACTGTTTTTCCTTTGATTCCATAAGGAAGGTCTTCGCTTGAACAGTGGAGGACATTTTTAGGATAATTATGATATTTGAAGAATAGTACTATAATTTTATATTGTCTCATTTTGATAAATTATTATGTAGGTTAATACAGTAAATTCCTAATTTTAAAGTAGATATTTACTAGAAGATTTAATATGCAGTTTTAAATTAATAAAGTAAATAGAACTAAGTTCAAATTTACTAATCACCATAACACTAATCCACTTTAAGTGAAATCGTTTTCGTCGCCATTAAAACTTAATCCGTGTGCGCTAGTCCAGGAATGAATCACGTCTGCAGTATTGTGACACGTCAGGATACGTTTATGTACGTCGACTTTCACGATGACAATAAAACGAATTTAAGTGTTTCATACACTTTATTGCTTCACGGATATTATTCTCCATAAAATCTCAAACAACCACGATTATAACGACGAAACGAGCGGCGCACTCCGAATCAGAGGCGCCCGTAGACTATACGAGGCACTGAGAGACAGGAATCACAGATTGACAGAGCTTAGAAGATAGACGGACATCAATAGAGAAAGCTAGAGGGGGGCGGACGCGGGGAGGGTGCGGGACGCGCGAGCCGTGGGTGAAACGCGCCCAAGGCCGCCTCGTTGGTGGAAGATGGCCTCTCCTCGCGGACACGCAGCTGCGGTAATCTCCAAGCGGCACAGGCCGAGGTGAGCGCGTGCCTATTCAACACCCAATATGCTACAGCGTTCAGAGCAGAATGTGCGTAGCCGAGGAGCAACGCGTACTGCGCTAACACTAATGGAATGTTCACTCCGAAAGCTTTCGATATGACGATCGCTGCATGAGGACACCAACAGACGGCGAAAACGGCAGCTATGCCGATGAGTACATTCCCGAGGCGTCGCCGTGACCGTAGCGTAGACATCTGCGGTTGAGGGCCTAGGAGGCTGGGCTGTAGTTTTTTCTTGTTTCTCACGTCGCCGACATCGACGGCGTCGCGTCGCTCGCGCGGCCCAACGCCGGCGACGATGATGACGTGTGTGGGTCGTCGCATTAGTGGTACCGGCAGTGGGAGCTCTCCGTGTGCAGCTCGCGCAGTTAGCGAAAGCGCTGTTAGCTTAACCCGCACGGTCCAGTGGCAGTGGGCCACTACAGCCACTGGCATGCAGTATGTAAGCAAAGCGTGAGCCGCTGCCAAAGGTGGACATGACACGCATGTAGTCACCACTGCAGCTGCACCTGATCAAACAAAACTAGTTTTAACAATGTGATCACTTTTATATACGTAGTAGTGATTAGTACTAAGCACATACACGATTAGAGCTTCTGATTTATACGTACAAAATGAGTTAAAGGAAAATAATTACTTATGTAGTGTCAGTTATGCTGTGTCGTTCTATGATTTACTTTGATTTTCACATGTGACTTGGAAAATCTAAGTAGTTAATGCTTTACTTCTGTCATATCAGTTGTTCACTGAATATAAAAATTGGATGAGGAGATTAACTAATTTTATTCAGATTTGTGCCAACGGAATTGACACCGGGTTGGATTCCCGGTCGGGTCAATGTAGAAAATGAACTTTTCTATATTGACTCGGGTCTGGGTGTTGTGGTACCTTCGTTGTCTCAGATACTTCATAATACAGGGGCTTTAGCTACTCATCTTGGAATCTGAGCAATGTATGTGATGTTGTTAAAATATTTATTATTATTAAATTCTGTGTACAATTATTACAGCAATATATATTTATTAAGTTCCTGGTAGATGATAATTATCACTACATAGTAAAAAACAAAGTCGTTTTCTCTGTATATCCCTATGTATAGGTACTTTAATCTTTACAACTACGCAACGGATTATGATGCGGTTTTTTTTCATAGATAGGGTGATTCAAAAGGAAGGTTTTTATGTAAAATACAAGACCACGCAGACAAAGCCGCTGTAAGAAAGCTAGTAATGTACAATTTATATTCCTTTATTTTACCTCAAACAATAAAATAAAAATTAATACTAAAACAACTCTTAAAACTTACAATTGTTTATTTCAAAATCCGAGTACCTATCTATCAGTGAAGCACTTTGAACTAGTATAGTTTTATAAACTCTATTGCAGTATAGTATATACGATTAAGTAGCGTGGTTCTACCACGTAAATAAATTAGGTACCCAGAAGAAATGCGGTGATCCACACAGCGAGTACAGCGAGAGGAGGTCGCGCACACCACGAAGTGCTGCGGCCGCGTCGCACAGCTCCACACCTGTCCATTGCTATAGCCACCAGGGACAATGTACTTGCCGCAACAGGTAATGACTGTAAATTGAACGTAAACTGATAAAATTTCTCGTATTGACATAGCAGTAACCAGTGAGTAGCTCGGTGGCGTAGTGGATAAGCGCCGCGGCCCGCGATCGTAGTCGTTAAGCAACTTTCGCAAGGGTCAGTCACGGGATGGGTGACAAAAAAATTATTATCTCGAGCTACTCCGTGCTTCGGAAGGCACGTTAAGCCGTTGGTCCCGGCTGCATTTGCAGTCGTTAATACCCTCCAATCCGCATTGGGTCAGCGTGGAGGGTCATGGCCCATCCTCCTTAACCATCCATAAGGAAGGCCTGAGCCCCTGCAGTGGGGACGTAAAAAAGGGCTGGTGGTGGTGGACAAATAAATAAGACGGTACATCGTTTTCTATATTGAAAATTAAGGGTAAAATAGAGTGTAATATCATAGAAAAAGCACAAACTTATTTGTCCACGAACGAAAATTACAAATCGTTCTTATAATTTTATTAGTCATTTCCCTGAAGATTAGCTTTGAATCACAACACAGGCAATGTCAAGTCTTACCTCCGTTGCATCATAAATTATAGGAAAAGGGATACTTTAGACTCATATAACCGTTTTGAATATATACGAAATTTCATTTTCGAAGAAACAACCTAGGCCCTTATCTACCTTTTGTACCTTTTTTACCTTTTGTAATACATTCTCTTTTCTTACGAGGAAACCGAAAGTTATCACTTTAAGGTGTAATTTCTGCCGAATTAATATCTTACTTCAATATAAAATGTAATGTGGCACGGCAGATGATGAATCCTGGCCGCACGCGTGGCTGCCAGTGGTGCACTGGCGGCGCACACCAGCAGGTCCGCTGCACACGCGCTGAGCAGCTGTGGTGTTCTCAGACGCGATGCTCCGCCTGACGCAAGCGCCGCCATCAGACTCACGTTGCCTTGGCAAGTAAAGAAAATAGTAGGGAATGAGGTTATAGAACTTTTTATTATAAACATAAGAGTTAGTTTCAATTCAAAGCGTGAACCGTAGCGTGCAATAAATGTACAATGATGGTTGTTTATTTAGTTAATTTGCAATGAATGAATGAATGAATGAATGAATATACTTTATTGCCCAGTAAAATATACACATGAAAACAAATATTATTAAAAATATCGAAGTAAAAGGCGGCCCTTTTGCTAAGGTAGCAATCTCTACCAGGCTACCCTTGGCTAAAAGAAGCTATACCGATTGAGTAAAGAGACTACGGGCTAGTGTATTAAAGAAAGATGAATGAGAAAATTCATAAAAGTAAATACATAAAATAATATAATTAAATAATACAAAACAGACTACAATGTCAGGAAAATGAACCCAGGTTGAGGAAATGTTCCTTGACATATTTACAAAGGAATGTGTTTATGGCGCTGAGACTTCCACTTCACTTAATAGCAGCTATCTAGAGATGTACGTGTTTTCGGCGGGCAGAAATAATGTAGTTGAACAAAAGTTACTTTTATAGGCAGAGTTAGCACGCTGAAGTAAATAATAAGCATGGTATATGCGATAATTTAAACAGAAGATGAGGGTGTGTTCTTGAATATGGACCACTTACCGATTGTAAGTTAGACTGATAATCTTTTTTTAAATGTAGGGATAATGCCTTACGTTTGGCCCGCCGCCGTATGGCGAGTGGCGGGGTTATGTGCGACTCTATAAGTTCATTCTTTCAATGTGCCCTCTAGTTGGTCTATCCAATGGATAACGTATTGTTGTCTCATGATAAACTTCTAAGGCCTATCCACTAAAAGCTCCACAGTGTACCCTCTCTCATATATGGGACAGAATCTAGGAAGTTTATCCCACTAAAAGGATCCTGGGCTCTCCATCGCCGGTGGACATGGTCGGAGCATAAATAGAAAGATAACCAAGATAAACTTATGATACTCACTGAATGCACGTCATCGGCAACAGGTCAAAATGGAGGGAAAGAGGGAAGGTCATATGTTTGAAATTATGATAGTTATTGTTTTATAAAAAGCTCACCAACTATTCCGACGACTGATACAAGTACGTAAAGGGCGAGGAGGGCGGCGAGCGCGTGCGCACGCGTCTCCTCGCCCTCCACCCCCCACACACCCGCCCCCTCTGCGCTCGCGTTACCATACATCACACCGCATCGCCTCGCTCTACAACAAAATACATACAATTTTTTTTTTATTTATTTCTTACAAGAGTTCTACAGCATTATCTTAAGACTAAGTAAGATAAAACCTTTGTAGTTCTTCAATATAATGCCAATTATAGTTTTATAGTGTTACAAATAAAATTATATAGTTGGAGAGAAAAAAAAAAACATACTAAATAGTAATAAATTATTCATTATTTGCGCGTTAAAAATTATTAACCGATCATAAAATCCAAAATGAGGAGGATATATTTTCAACAGCGATGTATATATTTTTATGTATGTTCACCGATAATCCCGCCAATTGTTGATCGATTTTCAAAATTATTTTTTATTCGACAGCTTAATGGCCTGAGGGGCTTCATTTAAGTTTTATAGAAATCGAGTCAATGGTTTTCCTTTTATAACAAAACAAAATACGCTTTTCACCATATATTACCTAAATATTTATGTATTAATTATGATATGTGTAGTATTTCATGAATTTCAGCTAAAAATTAAAAGATTGCGTATTTTGAATTCACTCAAAATCCGAAGGGAGGATTTTCTATGTTAAGGGTATATTTTTTATGAGAGTAGATACTCTTATATCAATCGATTTCGTCTTGAATTGTGAGCAAATTTTTAGCTACATCATACCGGGTTGATAAAAGCAATAATTAACGCATGTGAAGTCGCGGGAAAACAGATAGTAACATTAAAAGAAAGCATTCCATTTAACTCTACTAAAAATGTACATTTTAGGCTTAAAATACATATGGATCCCTGAATCACAATATTTCAGACCATGGAATAGACGTGAAAAGAAATTGTCGCCAACTTTTTACGCCGGAAAGGTAAAAAAGATCATATTTTCTTCGTGGATTGCCGAACCACTTTATCCCATCAAAAATAATGTGAAAATGTAATAGAAAAAAACAAATTAAACGCATAATTCTCAAAGGCGACCTTATGCAGTAAATAACGAATAAAACTTTGACAGCACAATAAATATAATATTATTTTTTTGGATGAATTCAAAAACACAAATACCTCCGTAGCCGAGTGGTTCGCACGCCGGTTTCAAGGTGTCGCCATCTCTGAGGTCCCGGGTTCGATTCCCGGTCGGGTGAATTTAGAAAATGAACTTTTCTATATTGACTCGGGTCTGGGTGTTGTGGTACCTTCGTTGTCTCAGATACTCCATAATACGGGGGCTTTAGCTACTCATCTTGGAATCTGAGCAATGTATGTGATGTTGTTAAATATTTATTTATTTATTTATTCACATTTTCAACTATAACAAATAATTTAAAGCACTTATGGCCTGGAAACAATAAGGAGACTATAGACTTGTATTCTACGTACATTTTATCTGAATATTTTAGAAAGGAAGTGTATGACAGCAATGTAGATTGTTGTAACAAGACAATCAAATGAATTAATTGGACGAGCAGCGGTAAGCGCAGCTGAATTATTAAAAAAAAACTTATAGAACGCACATATAACTCTATTTGAATATTCAAATTCAATATCACTTATTCAGTCTAGGCTGTTACATGAATGTCGAAAGCTAAGCCATTGCTTCGCAAATATACGGCGGGAGATCTTGAGCTGATAAGAACCGACAAGAAACTCAGCATGGATTGCTTTCTCCCCTCATTGTTTTTCATACACAGAATTATTATGTATAATATTCATTCATATAAAAATTATACCATATTTAATGGATTTTACAGCTCTTTATTTAATGTTAATATGGATTGGAGCTGGAAAATAGCCATAAGACCTTCGTTGAATGAAGGAAACCCGTCGATCGGCACGTTTAATTTATCTTGACGAGGACTTTGGTCCAAGATAATAAACAGTACCTGATGACGGAATTAGAATCTGGCCATAGGAAATTTATATTGAAATAACGTAACCCTGTTGAGTTTGGATCCATTTCATTTGTCTAAACAAGTTCTCTGGTCTACGATAACACACAAAAAAGTTTGTTTTTAATAATATTATTTATTTTGAATGATACCAATTTATTTCATTTTTCATAAATATAATCTTAAATACGTTCACATATACATATATGTATGTACAATATGATCATATAATTTTACGATTATAACAATTATTCTCTGTTCTAAAAAACAAAACATGATAAATAAAATAAAACCCCTTTTCTGATTTAAAAATCAAATAAAAAAATTACATTCCAAACAATTATGACGCGGACAATAAACGTTGACATAATTATTTTCTAATTTCAAATTAATGAAATAATTGAAATAAATGAGAAGTTACCAAGACAGGTCTGAAATACATTCAGTCAAAAAAGTATCGGGAATAGATTATTTGTTTAAGATTCCAAATTCAAATTTTTGTTTCTTTTTGGTGTTGTTAGATTGGCATAACTGTTTTCTATTTTGGCGGGGAGTTTTAGTTACATCTGTTATTTATATTAAATACAGTGCTGTTTTTAGTTATATCATATGTAGTGTGTATTGCGAATTTCATATTGGACAAAAACATCGAACAAAGCGTTTGTCTAAAATTTTGCATCGAATTTCATGTTTGGAGTCACTGAAAATGTTACAGAAGGCTTTCGGTGAATATTTATCTAAAATGTGTGCTTGTGAGTTGTGCAAAGCATTCAAAAGCGGCCGAGATGTGATGAAAAATTTGCCTTGCTCTGGTAGGCCATCAACGTCAGCAACTGAAGTTAACATCGCAAAAGTGAAAGAAAAAGTGACTGAAAATCCTCAATTAACTTTGAGAGAGAGCCGCCGAACTTTCTGTATCTCACGAGTCGATCCGTACCATTTTAAGTAATCATTTGGGTACGAAACATGTTGCCGCCTGGCTAGTCCCAAAAGACCTAAATTTTCTCCAAACACGCAATCACATGAGAGTCACTGAGGATATTCTAGAACAAGTCAATTCCGACTCAACATTCATGAAACGCATTGTTACTGATGACGAGACGTGGGATTACGAGTTTGTCATGCAAACTAGTTTACAAGCTTCGGAGTGGCGCCTTCCAACTGAACCAAAACCGAAAAAACCACGCCAATGTCGTTCAAAGTCAAAGTCATGTTGACTGTTTTCTTTTACTATCGGGTTGTTGTGCACTCGGAATTCTTGCCGGAAGGTCAAACGGTAAATAAGGAATATTATTTGATCGTTGTGCGGCGTTTAAGAGAGCAATTTCGACGAAAAAGGCCTGATTTGTGGAAAGAAAATTCTTGGATTTTGCACCACGATAATGCGTCTTCGCACAAGGACACATTGTAAACGAATTTTTGAGCAAACACTTAACAAATTTCACCAGATATGGCTCCAGCCGACTTCTTTCTTTTTCTTAAACTCAATTTACCACTTCGTGGCACCCTTTTTCAAGGTAGTAGTAGACATAAAGGAGAATTCGAGGCGAGAACTGAATTTAGTTTTGGAAACAGCGTTTAAAAATATTTTGATGATGGATTATTCGTTGGCGTCATTGTATCGTTTCTGAAGGAGCATACTTTAAAGGTGATAAAATAAATTTGGATGAATAACAAACAGTTTGTGTATTATTGATCTTTTACCGCTACTTTCTTGACAGAGTAGTATAACCACTTCTTCATTTTACCGTCAAAGAGGTAATTGATCATGTCAAAATGAGATAGATGAATACTGGGATGAATTGAATTTGCCAACTAATAATTTATGAAATATAAACTTCGTAAAAAAGAATGATGTTAAAGAGTTCGTAAGCATTTTAAGTAGATGACTATTTAAAATAATAAGAAGTTCAAGTAATATTCAAAATGATGCCGGTAAACCAATGAATACTCGAAGATTGCTTAAATGTTAAATTCAATATACCTGTAATATTCAAAGAATCCAGCGATCATTATTTAAATAATTAAACAGTTGGTCGGCTGCTGCTGACACTTTACCAATGTTTGTCTATTTTAATTAATTACTTAATGAATTTAGTGATTGTTTATAAGAAAATTTCATATACCGTTCGTTGATTAATTCAAAGTTGAGTATTTATTTTCTAAATTAAATTCTTGTTAATTAGATTATGATGAAATAGTTAATATAACTATTTTTTTTAATGCCGTAGCTTTTAATAATTATTTAAATCTTTTTACTTTCTACGTTATACAAACTGGATATTGGAAAAAAATACAATAATTGATGGATACATTTATATTTCTAACTTTACGTGTTTAAGTTTCTACAAAAAAAAATTACATAATTAATATATATAGGCACGTATGTTATAAATAAACAATAAATTATTTTATTAAGGTAAATAACAAAACTTTTAAATGTTAATTAGGTTGATAAGAGTATAAAAAAATTTATAAAAAATAAAGCCCCGCCGCGACAGTGTATCACTGCCGTGACCAGGATTCGAACCTGGGTTACTACGGCCACAACGTAGGGTCCTAACCACTAGACGATCACGGCTACCGAGGCTAATAAGTTGCTGGTACAAATAACCGACTATATTCTTGTGGTTGTATAAAACTGTCAAGTTAAAGTGTGCACGAGAAACTAACGGATAATAATTAATTGTATACACTTCACATCTTGCCAGGGTTATATCAAATTGGAGCACTTTCTCTGGTCGCTGGCGTCGGCAGAGATTGCGTCGGCGTTATTGATGTTGTAATTGTTACGGCGGCAATTCTGTAATTTAACTTCTGCGCCGTGATTTTCAACAAAATAAAGATCATAATTAACAAATGCGTTAATGGATCTCCCGTAGCACTGCCCTTGGAACGAACCAACGTGAAAACAAACACCAATTTGCGAGAAATGTTTGTTTTTACTCGAGTAAATTTTTTGATCACTTACTTTGTACGCTGTAATACAATATGACGTTCATTTATACCTAGAAACGGTAAAATAAAGGAGAATAAAAACGATTGGCAAAATCGCAGTTTTTATTTATTTCTGTAACGTCATTCTTAATTTGAAATTTCATTCTGTGATTCCTTTTTTAATTGTCTTCAAAAATTATAAGTTATG